AAAATAAACAAACGTGTCGTATCGGGTGTGGTGTTGGGGGGCCTCAGCTCAAGGGCCCGACGGTGAAATCAGTCTGCCAACCCTAGGATTTGAACCAATGACCTACTGATCAGAAGCATAGCAGCCTAACTCGCTGAGCTGCATTACGGCCCCATTTTTAATGTTATGCCCATGAAATGGAATCTCTGGCACCACAGTCCTCCTGTTTTTTAGAACCTAACCTAAAACGGCTAATCCCCCCCCCAGAATGCAGAACCCCTCCTTCAATTTGAATTTTTTAATTGGTTTTCTTTCCGTTGAGCTTGGCTGTCTTTCTGCTGTCGTGGTGCTGAAGCCAAGACCGGATTCTCTTTTCCAAAAAACACACACAGACGCCACGTTTGAATGGATGCTCTTTTGCGGAAGGCTTAAGCTTTCCGACGGGGAACACTGGTACTGGTGTGGCTGTTTTCTTATTTAGTTTGGGGTAGAATCTTTAAAATTTCGTTACCCCGTACTGAATTAGCAGCTCGAAGTTGGATGGGTGGGTGGATGGATTTTTACATATTTATTTTAATGAGTTTAACAAGCTGTGATTGGCACTAATTAAGAGCGACGTGCTTGTCATGTGATTTGCATGATGCACGTATTGGAATAAACCAATATACCGACTCGGGGGTGGCATTGATCAATATGTGTGTGAAAATATTGGAGAAAGTGTATCGGTAGGGGTGGTACGTGCCTCAGCGGGCCAAGTCTCTGTACATGTGATCAGAAGGTCGTTGGCCTCGGCAGAATAGCCACAGCCACACGTCCCAGGGCCCTTGAGTAAGACCCTTAGCCCCCCCCCAGGTGCAGCAATGTGGCTGCCCCTTCTCTCTGACTCCCCCCCCCCACACTCGCCTATATGGAGGCCAAGATGAGGCAGAGCGAAAAACGGAATTCCCACAGGGATATGTAAAGTGTATCTATAGTATAAAAATATATATTTATTTTTATATGGCATCTGAAAACCCCTAAACATGGTGACAAATGGTCTGTGATTATGATTATCAGAATGTGGGCCTATTGGCCGCTTGTTCCTAACCCCTGAAAATCTTGCCCCGCGTATCTGAAGTGTTGAAGCTGACTAACTCAAATGTACAATACTGATTTTATCCTGTGAAGCTTCACAATGAGTATAGTGGATATAGTTTTGGTATTGCCAGTATTCTGATCGTTTCACCGGTACGGGCATTCCTCGGCCGACACAAATATGGCACGCGGGTTGCGGAGGAGTGTATTGTTCCTCCGAACATCGCTGTCAGTCGTGATTTTTATTTATTTATTTATTTTTAAAAACCATTTGATTTAATCTAAGCTAATTTCTGGCTCAGCAGGACCTGGGGATACCTAGAACATTACATAGAACGTGGGTATTAAAACGGAGATGGAACGATGACACTAGGTGTGTTTTGTAATGAGACTGTCAGATCGGTCTCCGATAATAAACGTCTCGCTCTCGGGAGCGGCAGGTCAGGTTCGGCCTTTATGAAGCCCACCTTCCTTCCTGGGGGGTCCTGCAGCCCCCTTCTGGGGGCTTTCCCAGCTAATAAATGTGATTGCCATCCTTTCTGCTTCCTTCCAAGGTTTCTTCCCTAATAGCTTCAAGGGCTGCGAGGCCTTCCTCCGTCACAAGATGACTCTGATCTCTCCATCCATCTTGAAGAAGTATAGCATCCCCTTCGACAAGGTATCTAAGAACCCACACTCTCAATCTGCCTGCATGCTGTGGGAGACTTTGATTTTGGGGACATAATCACGACTGCTTGTGCAAGATCCTCCTCTACATCTGTGCACCAGACCACCCTCTCGACCGGTTTTAATTACATTTATTAATATCATGGAGTCCTTTTAAATAATGTAAACCACGAAGCTAAACTGAGGTAAAATATATTTCTCATTAGAATCCTCCATAAAGAACTATTAATACCATTAGACTGTGCAAAGTCTAATTAAATTCTTTTGTGCTTTAGAAGTAATTGTGTTCATTACAGAAAACATTCTGCAGAAAGACGAGTATTGTTTGTTTTTTGTTTTTTTTTTAATTCTTTTAATGTGTTTTTTTTTTTTTTGTTTTTTTTTGTCCAGGCAATGCAGAGCTAACTCTAGCACCCAGCGTGGAATAGAAAGTAGTGTACGTGTGTGGATTAGGTTTGTTACATTGTGGGGACCATTTTTCAGGTCCCCGCAAACATCTGTGAATGCAATCAAAAAACTAAAAAAAAGTCACATATTTTGTTTGGTTACTTATGGATAAGGTTAGGGCTGGGTAGGGGTTAAACTCATCCTGTTGTGGTTGGTTTTCCCCATAGAAGTGAATGGAGAGTCCCCACAAAGATATACTTACAAACGTTTGTGTGTCTGTCTGAGACAGGGCAGTACAGCGCCCCCTGTCTGCCCTGCGCCGCAGATTTCCCGGACCTCAGGCTTTTGCTACCTCACTCGCTCTTGCCCGCCATGTCGCCTCTGCCAAGCACACCTGCCAGCCACAGCTGTGGGTTCAGTTGGACCGCACCCGTCTGCCTGGCTGCTGAATTACACAGCACTGCCTCTCCCGGTTAATGAATGTTAGGAGTCATTGATCAAAGTCAGAATCGCGTTCGAGCCCAAAATTAGCCAATTAAATCATTCTCTTCCCCCCTCCGAAGGTGCGTCTCTATTTGGCTGGCTGAAATAATCTCTCTATTTAATTTAGGGGGTATCCGCGAGCCGGCCCTGAGGTGGGGGAGCAGGCTTTCTGTCACACTTGAAGTAAACAGCCTCTTCAGTTATGCGGTAAAGGCTAAAGAGCTGTTAGTGTCTCAACCTGGCAAGATTGAGCATGCTTATGGTAAACCCACCAATCAGGGTGATGACTGTGGGTGGGGCTCGAGGCCCTTCAGTCTTTGTGCCAATCGGGTGGCTGTGCCGGTCGCGGAGCGTGGCAGGGGCATTGTCGCCCCTCCCCCCAACTGGAGCCCGTCTGCAGGGCTTCTCCATGCCAGTCTGGCGATGCAGGCATGGCTCTGCGGCTAACAGGTGCTCTCCTGCAGGACCACAGCCTAAACAATGTTTATTTTTTATGCATTTGTCATGTAGTAGCGGTGGGAGTCTGGAGCGTCCTCAGCTTGCCTGAGCATAATTACAAATTTTTGGTTCGTTTTAAAGTCGCTCCAGCAGCTGAGAGCATGCTGTTCAGTTTGTAGCAGAGACTAAGTGCTGCGCCTCTAGGGGGCGCTGTTGAGTAAGTCGCCGCTTACCTGTCTGCCACTTTATGCATGATTTTATGCTCTTATCTGATCTCATGGCTGCACCTGGAGCTGGATATTATCAACGTCTTATAATTTAAATGTCGACACTGGGGCTGTCTGTCGTTATAGATGTTCCTTCCTGTTCCGTCGATTTGGAACTCTCACTGGTGCCGTCATGGCGCTTTTGTCCCAGGTGCTGGTTGAGCTCATGTCAGGCCCAACCAGCTTTGTTACTTTAGTCTGTGCGCCTAGAACCTCTCAGTTGCTTGGGGAGGCGACGGAAAGCTTTTGGTTTGGTGGAGCCCTGTGGAGAGTTTTTTTCAGGTTTTTAACTGAAGCGATCGAAGTTTGCTCAGTCATTTCTAAATGCACCTGAAAGTTTGACTGGGGCAGTCCAGGATAAGTGCCTTATTTAGGGCCAGAACATAGAGCTTAGTCACCCCGTCGCCCTTCTCCCAGCATGCTGTGAGTAAGGAGCCGCTCAGCGTGCTGAGCTAACAGCCATCCGGACAGGATCCACGTCCCCCTCGCCCCCCCACCTCAGCGGCCAGCCTCAGGCAGAGCTCGGGGTATGCTTCAGGCTGATAAGCAGCCTGGCCGTGGATGGGGCTGCCAGAGCGCCTGGTCCACAAAGGCACAACCTGCCGGAACCTTCCGGACTCCCCAGGCTTTCAACTTCTCGGGAGAGCTGGGGTGACGGCCTCGGCCGGCCGCTCGGCCCGTGTTTGTAAAGATACTCGCCGGTCTGAAATCGCGACGGCTTCAAATCCCCGCCTTCCCAACGGCTCGCTGTGACTGGAATATTTTCAAGGAGATGCGTGACTGTGTCCAAATTGGGCCTGCAGATTAGGCAGGAAATGATGCTTTGGTCACTTACAGGCTAAAATAAATAGTCCACTATTTATTTAATAAGTTTCTGCTGGCTTGAGTGTTTAACCAGCTGGCTGTTTTACAGAAGCCCACTTCATTGTCCACATTAAATTAATGGACACAGTGGCAATTTGGAGAACATCGGCACCCATTTCCTGAGTTTTTTTGGAATCTGGGTCTTATCTGCTTTTTCTAGAAATGTCCAGCCCTGAAGGGGGTAGAGCTCACCCTTCCCTCAGTTATAAAAATCTCGGAATGCAATCAAAAAAATAATGCCTGAAGTCTGGGTAGGGGTTAAGGTTGTCATTATTGGGAATAGGGTTATTCCTATAGAAATTAATGGAGTCCCCACAAAGATATAGATACCTAATCTGTGTGTGTGTGTGTGTGTGTGTGTGTGT